ACATGCTATTTCTTACATCGAAATAACAAATTTATTTAGTAACATAAAAGTTTTATCAATAATATATCCACAAGATTAAAAACATGACAAATAAATTATTTAAAAAAAAAAACCTAAAACTTTTTTTCTTGGTTATTTCAAGAACTTCTATAAAATGTAACTTTTACTCGGTTCTTGGATTAAAAGACTAAAAAATATCTTGTATTTTCTTTATACATAGGGTAAAACCTGGTCTAACATAAAAAAAAAGGTTTTTATACATTGATTGATACTTCAATCAGACATTGAAAAAAAATAAAAACTATCTTTCTAAGTTTGTTAATGATCTAAACATACATAAAATATATATTTTTTATATTAAATGATTAACCTAGGTGAAATATTTTCATTTGTACATTGTTACTAACCACGTGGTTTTCAAAGCAGCATAATTTGACCCAAATCACCTTACATAAAAAGTATTATTTTGCACCAGTGTGTCCAATCTTTCTTTTATCCCTACTTTTAGTTATATATATATATATTGAAATTTCTTATTCATTATTTTGAACTTATATAATTATGTATTTTCCTTTTATTACATTTAATCTTATCTTACTGTCAGGAATCTCTTCGTTTAACTTTAACTGGAGATAATTTACCTTCGGAAGAGGCTTAACTAGATCTCATTTTTCAACTTATTTAATCTTCTTCGATCATTTGCACAGTTTCAGTGCTCAAATGTCTTTGCGAATCCCAAATCTAATTAGAATCCGATGATTCTCAGCACATAAAATTTGATGAAAACCGGGCGCATGAAGATTTGCTGAAGAAAACCAGAAATCAAGATTACTAAAATTAGGTTTTTTATTGACAAATGTGCACAGTTCTTCTTCACACTTGGAGATTTGTCCTCCCTGTATGGAGATTTATCTTCACAGTTGGCTTAAAGAGTAAATGGTATCAGTAGTTGCTGAAGAGATCAGCAGTTCTGAATCTTTGTTATTTTCTGTGTTCATATCATTGATTTTCTGCTAGTCCCCTTTTTCGATTATTAAACCCTGATATTCATGTTTTTCTAAATACGGTGGTCTCGGCCTGAGTTGTTTGTCTTGGATTAATGCAATTCAACTTCCTATTTTGAGGATATATTAAATGATGAAATTATATTTGATGTAACATTTGGTTATATACAATTCGAGTTCTATATCTTGATGGAAGGAGGCATTTGATTTGATTTGATTTTTAGTTAGTATATTGTTTGAGTTAATACAAAATATAGTTTCTTTCTCATGATAAGATTTTCATCTATCTTTCTGCAGTATAGTTAGTTGTTTTAGAGTTAACTTCTTTTGGAAATGATTTTCTTTCTTTTTTTTTTTTAATCAGACTGAACCTTAAGGTTTTGTGAGTAGCATAACTTTGATTGGTTGCAAGAGTTAATTTGCTGTTTGCGAAAAGGTTAGATGTTAAGCCTCCAACACTGACAGATACAAGTTAATGTCAAGATAGCAACTGAAAGATGCTGCTTTTCTCATATGATTCAAAATAAAAACAAAGAACAACGTCTTTACATCAAAGCTTAAGATATAATTATAACCTATTTTTTTCAGATCTCACCAGCGTGCCTAATTAAAACTTGCTATGTAAATGAATTCATATCGTTGTGCAAATAGTACTGAACTTTTAGACAATGATCACACTGGTAGCTCTGATGTCAGAACTCTTAGATTTTCAAAGAGAAGGGTTGAAAAATGGTTGATGAATTTCAGTTTCGCTTGGATTCTAGCCGGTTGTTCCACGAAGTAAACAGAGAACTGACTGTTCATGATAAAAATCCAATTAACAGCACATGAACAATTATCATAGCGTGAAAATAGACTCGTCAACAATTCGTTTTTCTCATATACGATAGATAATAGGAAGAGAAGGAACATTTCCATGCTTGAAATACCATATCAGTGATGAATATACTGATAGCTCATTGATCTCTTCTTAAAGCATATAATTCGAACATTACAGAAGCTTTCAGCTTGAAATTTTGGTGAAGAACTAATTAACAAGTTCTGGTGAAGTAACCATAAGAATTCATAACTTCAGATTCATATATATTTCCAACGATGTTAAAGCTTTTTAACAATATGACTTTCAGAGTTCCTGCATGGATCAGTGGTGGTAGCACTGCCAAAGGCATTCATTAAAATCCGTGGAATATTAACATTTTGAAAATGAGCTTCGCGGCAATTAAATTTGTTATATATATAAATATTATTGGTTAAGGTTTTGTGTTGTTGAGGCTCTGCAACTTATATGGACTACAACCCCCATGATCCTGAAAAAAAGGCACATCTGACGGTGTTTGCCATAATGGTTGATAAGTGTCAGTCCCCACTCCCTCAAAAGGAATGCTATGCAGCAAGGTTATGGATCTCGATGCCGCAATTTCGTGGTCGGAGCCCATGGGAACACTGTTCATTTCAAAGTGTTCAATTGTGCAAATCATTCCCTCATTCATAACCGGTTACAAATTTTAATGTATGCAGTTATTCTATCAAGAAATCAACCCATATCTTACTGCTCCAGCACCCGGTGGTATGTATACGTAGTCTTAGAGATTATTTGCTCTTTTCAAAGTAATATGGTCAACTACATCATTGCATTCGTATGGATAGTCCAAAAAGTTTTGCGGTTTCTGAACCTTCACAATATTAATTCTAAACTGCTCTGTAATCTCTTTGGTTTTGCGGTTTTTAGCCATTAATATAAAATGCCCATTGTAAAAAGTTAAAACCACGATCTCCCTCTACTGTTAGTTTTGCCTTTCTCAGACGGGAAACATGTTTCTCTCAGTGGTGAAGTTTATTTTGTGTGTGTGTTGTGTGTGTGCACAGAGAGGAAATATATATATATATATATATATATATATATATATATATATATAGAGAGAGAGAGAGAGAGAGAGAGAGAGAGAGAGAGAGAGAGAGAGAGATTCATCCAATAAGGTAAAGTAGTTGAGAAGTGGTCCCAAACGCTTGGGTGAAAATCTCAGGCCATTGCTGAAACCCTAATTCTGACAGAAGTTAAAATGAGAAGGAATTTGCTGTCAACTTTAATGGGAGAATGTCCTAACTGTTCATTTGAAATATAGAAGAATGCAGGCATGCCTGAGATATGATTCGATTTTCACGGTTAATTATGCACATGTAAAGCAACGAGATAGTGGTCCCGGTTCTAGGGTTAGAAAATCAAAACCTAGTACATGTATGTCTTGGATTATTTTATACATAGCCTTTTTACTGTTACTGCCTAAGTTTTTCTTGCATTATTTGGGTTACAAACTTGTGGTTCTCCTGCGGTTAAATTCTTGTAGTGGCAATACTATATAGTCTATTTAACAATTCATGATGTGTAATATCAGTTAAGGAGAAGTTGGGGATCAATCACAAGCATATCTAGTTGAACTGATAAACTTCGTTCATTCACTTCATATTGCAGACGTAGAAAGGAAATGTTGGATTTTGCTATGGTTAAATAACTGCTCAAAGCCTCCAAACTGAACTACTAAATATGTTCTGTGTAAACAATGTTCTAAATAAATTAACATCAATCACCGGCCGGGAAGGTTGTAATTAATTCTGCAGCAGATGATATGGACTGAAGTCGATTAATTCATTAACTAGAAAGTGAAGTTTTGAAGTGCAAAATGCTAAAAAAATGATAAGAAGAATTTCATTTATGAATTGAGTATACGTACTTGTCCTTTGAATCCATTTCAAAACCTAGCAAAGTTTGGAGAATATGTTAGATGCTAGTTACCATTACCATTACCAGATTCTATTATTGGTTGGTCCAAAACTCATTATTAATTAATCCTTTGTGTTCATATAAGATCACTGGTAAAACATAGATTTTCAAATGATGAAAATGTTAACTGGTATAATTAACAAATAACCAGGAACGTACATAAAGCTGGATCTAACTATAGAATCTAAATTCATCAACCCTATATATTTGACAAAAAATTCCCCTTGAGCTTGAATCCTTAGTTATTGAATGTAAGAAATCTACTGTTCATAATAACCTCATGGCAAATAATAATAATCAGCCCAAGATTTCATTTGGAAGTAAAAAACTTCTGCAAACGGGCCTTGCCCAACACATGCTAAATCAGATCACTTTTATTAATGATTATCGTAGAAAATTTAGAGCTACTATTCTTAACTTAACCAATACCCATATAATTAATATACAACATTACAGAAGCTGAATACAGTAGTGATAGAGTGTTTAAAGAAGGTAGAAAGGGAAGTCCTCTTATTTGAGCAGATGTGCAGTTGCAAAATTACCTCACAATATTGAACAAAATTAGAAGGGTTGTTGTTGTGATCCTTGGTCGATCTTGAGAAAAACACAGAAACTACGATTGATCTGTGGTGGGAGGGTTTTGAAGCTTGTCATGAGTAACCCTAGAGAGTGATGGTGGTGGTGGTGGAGCAAGGATGAGTTGAGTTTGGTTGAGAGATTTTGTTGCTGATCCTTCATATTTTTTGTTGTTGTTTTGGATTTTCTCCCTTTCTGCTTGCCTGTATTTATGCAAGTACCTTGCTATGGCCTCAGCATAGTTGTCAAACCCTAAGGAACTTAGAGCCCAACAGATGTCATCCCCATTAACGGTCTTGCGATTCTCCTTGTGACACTTGTCAGATGCCTCACCAGTCACAAAACTTATGAACTCTGTAACACACTCTTGCATTAGTTGTTTTCCTTCCTTGGAGATCTTTGCACTTGGAGGAAGATTTTGCTTCATGATTCTACCCACATTTGCAATGGGCAAAGCTTTATCTTGTTCCTCCTGATCCATTTCCCTATAAAATCAGATAGATAGCTAGATAGATAGATACAGTGCACACTTTAGATTTTGATCTATGTATGAACAAAAATTTGATTCTTTTAAATAGATTATCTGTTTATACATGTTTGTGTGACTCAAGCCAATTTGTGAAACACGATACAAATGTCACATGTGAAAATGCTGGTATGTTTTTTGTACCGCAACATATATTAAAGGAATTATAATTAGGTCCTTTCATAAAAACATTGCAATATATATCTTGTTAGAGAGGAAAAAAACATCTTAATAAATGAAAAAGATGAATAAATTTTACACAGGTAATGATGAGTTTTTCGATTTCAGAATGAAAATTCTATGTTTATGTTAACAATAGAAAATTGACAGGGTAGGATTACATGAAAATTAAAAATAAGAGGCTAATGGAAATTTAATAACGGTTAATGAATAAATAATAAAATTACACAAAAATAATATGTTATATGAAATTTTTATATAAGTTTGACTAACCTTTATGGAAAAAATATTTTTGATAATTTAAAATTTTTTCTTTGTATTTTTTAAAGATGGATTATTTTAATTTTCTTTTTAAGTTTTAATTTTGTTCATTAATTATATATTCTTAAGATAAAAAAAAGTGTAAAAAGAAATAATAGTAATCCTAATTTTTGAAAAAAACATAGAATAAGTTTTAATAATATTTTAATGGATAAAAGATAATAAAATATTAAAATATTTTTTTTACTAAATATATACTACTAATATAGTCAAAGAACATTTTAGCTAATATAAGAAATTTAAAGTAGTTGAAATCTTTTTCAAACATCATTATTTTAGTGATTAATGCTTTTAGATTTTGTTGAAAAGATAGATTGTCTAAGTAAGATTCAAATTACTATATATTATGGTTAATTAACTATTACATCAGTTTAAAGAGGAAAAATAAATTCTCTTGCATGATATCCAAACACACAACTATATATCCTCCACTAATTTAAATGAGACATCATATTTACAACAATACTCATAAAACCACTGAACTATATCTTGTGTTAAAGTTGAAATAGATGAAAAACATGAGTCTCAAATAATTAGAACAATTTGGCTTAAGATGGCAGAAGATACGAGAAAAAGATGACACAATCCATGATAATTTTAAATGATATTCTGAATACAATGGCACTATATATGTAGTGATTCAGTTTTTTTCCTGGGGAAATCTGCTTAAATATGGAAGTCTGTTTAACTTTCTATTTTGGGGTGGGCATAAAGCTGAGTGGCCCACTCACAATCACATATTCTACATCTGAGACCACTGCTCTACTCATTAATTTTTTTGTTGTTTTAAGAATAGAAGTTTATGAGTTAAGGTACAATGTTTGTCCCCACACAGTAATTTTTAATCTATAATTTGTTTAGTTATTGGAGAATAATATAATCTGAGTGTTCCTACTGCTCACATAAGTGGAGCACATTTGTGCATTTTCATGTTCTGGGACAGATCCGACCTAAACAAACCTAAAAAGAAGTCTTTACATACCATAATTCTTTTATAATACCTCTTGCTTTAGCTTAAATTATGTTTTTCACAATCTTTGTGGCAAATGGCATTTCATCTTTTATAAATTCTAATTCCTTAGGTTTTTAATTCCTTTATCAGATTCCCCTCTCTCGTTGAATATTAACTAATCCTTGATGCTCTAGATTCTTAACATATGAAAAGGTTCGTTTCAATACATCTCTCACCATTTTAATAACTTTTGCTTTTGAATTAATGTGTACTACAGTAACACTGTTTTACATAAAATTTTCTTCAAGGTTTCATCCATGCAGAAAGAGCATAGTTGATATATAAGGTCTTTCAAGATCAATTATGATCAGGATATAAAATATATTATTTTTTTACATAAAAAGACACACATTGCTATAGAATTTAATTATAATCAGTCTAGGTAAGACTTTTAAGATAGTAAAATACGCTATTTTAAAAGTTGTCAGGTTTAATTTGTTATTATAATTTATAATATGTGATCAATCTTAATTTTTTTTGTTATTATATTAATTAATGAAAGTGAACTTTTCTAAAGTTGTAATTTGTTTATTACAAGTATGTTTCTACACATGTGTATAAGGTTGGACTTTTTCAACTTTAATGGCATGATTTATTGATTGACTATTGTAACTTTGTATGAAAGTATTGCTTGCTCTGTTGAATAATAATATCGAATTATACATGATAAAGTAATTCACATTCAAGTTAAAATGACCAGAAAATCTTTCATTCATTTTACCAAAACTTATAATTTACCGGCTGTTCTTAATTGTAGGAAACTTAATCCCATAGTCCAAACAATTATTAATGGGAAAACATGAATTTACATCACTCATATGATGTATATACACAACAAAATAAATGTGGCAAAAATAAATATGGTTTCATTAATTTTAAATGATGAACTCTATTTTATTCTTTCTTCTAACTAGTTTTTATTAGATTATTGTTGATAATGATATTAAAAAAAAGAAAAAAGAAAATAAAGAATCCTATTCTATATGCTCGTTCTATCTAATCTTGTTATTTTTTTCCGTATCTTATTATTGTATGTGGTACATTGAGCGTATTTATAGTCTAGGATTTTTTTGGTTCAAGCATAGTCCATCAAATTATAACAAATTAATGACTTAATAAAAGAATAAAGCATAATATTTTTTAGTTAAATTTTTTATTAAATTATTTTTATTATTGTTATTACTATTTAACTCAAAAGTTGCTAGAAAAAAATATCTTAATTAGAACAAGATTAAAATTCAAAATGTATTTTACAAATAGGATAAAGTTTGAGAATGAATTACAATTTAAAGTATTTATTTGTAAAAGGAGTAAATATTAGGAAGTTAAATGTTGGTGTGTCTAGATATTTTATTTTCTAATTAAAGTAAATGTTGTGGTTTAAAACAAACCAAACTAAAAGAAGAAACTCGATAACCAATCCCTAAAACAGACCATCTAAGCAATGTAATATTAACAGATAAGTTCAGACTAGATAACTTTCTATATCAATCCCAAAACAAACAGCATAAATTACATAACTTCAAAAGGAACTATTTAGAAGTGCTGGAAAGTAAGATATTTATAAACTCTGATTTTTATTTAAATCAATTTAAAACTGATTTTGAATCTAATGTCGTCACATTGTAGTAAAAGAAAGGTTGAATATAACTAAGCAAAGTCATGAGAAGTATAATAAATTTAATTAGTGTGTGAGTCGTGTCTAATTTTAATTAGTGTCTTAAATTTTTAAGTAAATATAAAATACTTTTTGTGCTTTTAATAAAACAGTAATATTTTTTATGTTTCTATTGCGTCACTAACATCTCTTATTTAATTTATAAAAATAAACAAATTTTAAATTATTGTTTACAATTTTTTGAACTTTTATTTTTAAAGCTTAAATTTTTATTTTCATATTTTAAATTTAAATTTTAGTAACTATGATAATTTAAAATAATATAAGTGTCTTCTATTAAAAAAATAAGAGAATTGTTATTTATTAAAAATATAAAGTAATAAATATCTATGATCTAAAATGAAAGAAAATTGTATATCGACCGAATTGTACGAAACTGATTATCCAAGTTGAGATAAAACCAATATGTGTCGATCAAGTTCAGTTATCCTATTAATCAGATTTAATATAAATAGGTTGTGATTGAGTCAATCATAACTAGGGATGGCAACGGGCGGGTCGGGTAAGGGTAGTGTCTACCCACAATCTGACTCGTTATCCGCGCGAGTATCTGTTTAAAAAATACCTGCGGGTATTTAAAATCGCGGATACCCGCAAAAAAATATTTAATACTTTTTAAAATAAAATTACAAAAAAATATATAATATAATATAAATAATTTTTAATTTAATTAAATTACCTAATAAAATATAATGTTTATTTTATTTTAATTAAATTAATTAAAGATATATAAAATTATTAAATTTTGTTAATTTTTTGGCAGGTAGCGGTAACCCGCGAGACGGTTAGTATACATCTACTCGTATCAATCCGTTTAAACAAGTATTAAAAATCCGTTATCCGTTATCGTATCGTACGTCCGCCGCAGATTTTATACGCCAGATAACCGTGCCCGCGGATCAAATTGTCATCAATATAACCAAAAGCCTAAACCTATAAATATAAATAAAATTTATGATTGTTGAAATTTTTATTATGTATTTATGAGAACATTAATTAAACTGATCCAATATCGAATTAACTTAAAGTATAGAAATATATTTAACGTATACTTATCAGTTGGAATATACGAGTAGCAGCAGGAAACTGAAGAAAAAAAAATTACTTGGAGAAACATTTGATACTATACATCCAAAATAATAAGCTTCATTTCCTTTAATAAGTTTTTAATTTATTCTCAAATCAATGCTGGAATTAAAATATGCGAAATTAATATTCGCTTAACACGAAAAATAAATATGGTTATATATATATATATATATATATACACTTCATCGCTGTATTTGCAGTGTTATTTTGATTTAGAACTCAAATATTCGTGTGTTTTTTTTAAATACGTCTCAAATAATTTAATGTAAAAAATATAGGTAAGTTTCTTTTATTTCAAACTCTTAAGAGTATTAGATATATTAAAATAAAAATTAGTATTAACGTGGATACAATATGAAAGTTTTTATTAAAAGCAGAATAAATATTAAGAGGACATTTTCCTTCATTGGGCTGGTTGAGTTTTGTAGTGGGGTTTGTTTGATTGTTTGATCTCCATTTTGGATTGTACTTCATGAGCGAATCTTGTATAGCTTTGTCTCATGCTTTCCAAAGGTTGGTACATCTTATACAAAGTTTGGTTTAAATAGGAACATAAATATTTAGACTTTAAATATGTTCAGATTATATTGCTAGAGTTAATTACATAATTAAAAATATTATAATAAAAAGAAGAAGTACAGGGGAAATTCCCTAAACAAAAATTACTGTGTTTGT